GGGTGAGCAAGGAAAGTTACTTTCTACACGGCTAAGGGTAAGCATTTGAGTCGAATGATTTATGGCATGAGATAAGGAAGTTAAAGGAAATTTAGTTAGCAATAATAGTCAATTCTTGTAATATGGATAATGCATAGGCTTTTGATAAAGTAGTAGTTTAGAAATTCTAATTGCCATTTGAAGTTCATCCTTATCTTGTAATATGGATAATGCATAGGCTTTTGATAAAGTAGTAGTTTAGAAATTCTAATTGCCATTTGAAGTTCATCCTTAAGTCTACAAAGGAAGAAACTCAATGATTGTTCTTCAGATACTCCCGCTTTATAACAGAGTTCATCAAATGAATCCAAATATTTTTGAAGAAAACATATTTATTTAAGATTTCTTAACTTTGCTAATGGATCAGCATAAGCATTACTTCCAAATCTAGCACTTGATGATCTTACATACTCATCCCAACTAGCATAGACTCTTTCTCCTCTCATTTTTATCAAACCTTAATGCCATTGAATACCTCTACCATCTAAATGTAGAGCTACAATTTTAAACTTATTTTTTGAAGCAATTTTTCCCACATTAAAGTAATATTCACATCACATCAAATATTCACATCACATCAACCAATTATCTAATTCATCTCCATTAAAATGTGGGAACTCCAATTTAGTATTATCATTTTCAAAAAAAAAAAAAAAAAAAAAAAAAAAACAACAACAAATCTCTAATTAGTTATAGGTTTAGTCACTTTTGGAAGTACGTGTTCCATTTCTTAAAACTTCTTTTTGTTGCCTACTCAGGCTAGCAGTGAGGCCCCTGAGTTCATGAACCATATCTTGTAGCCCAGTCTCTTTCTTTGCTTTGCTTTTCAGACTAGAAGATATATTTCCTTTCAAATTACTTTCTGAGCACAAGCATGAGCTCCGTATCGCATAACCGAGAATCACGGGTGATACCAGTTGATAAGTTTCAGTTATAAGAAAAACTCGGTGGAGGGTTTCAGTTTAGGAAAGAAGAATAAGAAGAGAAGGATAGAAGAAGGAAGAAGAAATTTAGAGAATTTAGAAGAGAAATTGTATTAGATCTTATTATAATCCAATGTACGTCTCCATTACAACTATTACAACTTACATTCAAAATGAAAATGAACTTCGGCTAATTAATTAAATTGTTCTAATAAAATTATAACAAACTTTATTGACAGAGCATAGTGATATGCAATGTTTCCTTCATATGCTACATCGCACCATTTTGTTAAGTGATCTCTTCTTCTTTAAGCTTCACTTCATAACAAATATGTTCGAATTTAACTAATTCTATCACCATCAAAAACAATAATGGAAATTTACAAATTTAATGTTAAATCATAAAACGTGTGCGTTGCTTTTGGAAACGATAGCCAGAACCAATGAATAAAGTCCCGAAAAATAATGTCGGAATGATCTTTTTCCCAACATGTACACTGCGGCTCGACAGTCGATCAAGCGGAACAAGTAGTTTTTGGTACATTTGGTTGTCATGTTCACTATGGAGTGTGAGTATGGCAAAAAGTCGATAAAATCGGCAGCAATAATTAGTGCAACTCAACTTGGACCCATGCTTGATTCAGTGTAACTCAGTTAGGTGTGAATGTTAGCTCGCCTAACTCAGCTTCATAATGTAGCTTTTCTCTCTGTCTCCTATATTCGGTTTGAATGGATTAACAAGAATGAGACATAAGTGTCTCTTGTCCCCCATTCTACACATAAGGGCATCTTTAATAGTAATTTAAATCCCATTACTTAATCCTTATTGGATATAGCCCAATTTTGGCTAGCACAAAGTCCTATGGGATATTGTACTAAATGTTAATTTTTAAAACTTATCTTTACAAAATATCAATTTGACTTTGATATTTAAATTATTGTCATTTACGGTATGTTTTTACTGTTGTGCCCTTTTTATTGTTAGGGTGTTACATTTGTAATATTTCAGTGTTGCCTTTTTTTTATTGTTTACTTATGCCAGTCTTTCATTTTTTCAATGTTTCCTTTTTTTTAGTTTACTATATTTTTGTGTTTCCTTTTTTTTAGTGTTTTCTTTTTTTCATGTTTCCTTTTTTTCAGTATTTCTTTTTTCTTGTTTCCTCTCATTTTGTGCTACCATTAATAGAATGATCTTTTTCAGTCTTTGAAACTTATTCAGCCACCATTATATTTTCTTGTTCTTTCTGCTCTTCCATGATTGTGTTTTTTGATTCACAAGGTCTGTTGATTTTATTTTTTGATTATGTTTTTCAGTTGCCGTTTCTTGTTGTAAATAATTATTTTCGTTTTTTATTCTGCAGTTTCTCTTCTGCGATTTTATTTTTGTATAAATATATCAGCAGTTTAATGCTCAATAGAAAACTACCACCTCCATGGATGATGTTTATGTCTTGAAGAAACAAAGTAGGACTTTCGATTCTTTTTAGGTTGATACTGATATAGTATATATATATTCTGTATTTAATTGATTTTACATATTTATATATACCGTTTATATCTTGTTTACTATATATATTCTGTATATATTGTATTTACCGTTGCTATCGCCGTTGCCATTTTTTTTTGTACCTTTTATTTTTTGTTAGGGCCTACAAATCGATGTATTTCAGTGTTTCCTTTTTCCCATATCTCTCTAGTAAGGTTACTTTTAGTATTTTTAATTTTTTTTTTTGCCTAAAATTGTTATTATCTTTATTTGTATTCTTTTCTAACATTCTGTTAAAATTTAAGCCTCATAGATGACATTGTTAAATTGCCCCCATCTACAAATACACGGCTAAATACATAATTTAATTTCCTGAAGTTTAACAAAAAAAAAACTTTTTGGCACCTTCAAATTCTCTTTTTCTAATAATCTCACACATCGTCGCGTTAGAAACAACAAATTTTTAAAATTTTTGGCTTTCATATGTAAAATATTAAATTGATATGTGGTTTATACGACTTTTAAAACAATATTTCACATTTTTCAACTATTCAATAATTAAGATATATTTTTATAAGTTGAAGTGTTCAATATATCAATTAAAGTGTTTAATATATGCAATTTTATAAGTTAAAGTGTTCAATAGATCAAAGGGAAAGTTGATGGTGTTATAAGGTTTTTGGTAAAATGTACATGGGTGAATTTATGTATTGAGCCATAAATATGCATACAAAAATAAAATTGTAGCATATATTTTCAATTTAACTTAAATTTGAAATTTTTAAAATTGAAAAATTGGATTTTCACATAACTTTTAAAAAATTGGAGAGCAATATAAAAAATAGCGTTTAGTTAAAACGCTAAAAACTACTTAAAAGTTGTTATCGAAAACACAGTCTATATAGAGTTTATAGTTAAAATGCTTCTAATTCAATTTCAATCTCTAAAATGACATCCAAATTGAAAAAAAAAAAAAAAAAAAAAAACTAACTTAAAAAGTTGTTATCAAAACACAGTCTATTATAGAGTTTAAATAGTTAAAATGCTTCTCTAAATTCAAAGAGTTAAAATGCTTCTAATTCAATTTCAATCTCTAAAATGACATCCAAATTGAAAAAAAAAAAAAAAGAAAAAAAAGAAAAATCAAACATTCAAAATGAGGACTTGGTTAAAAATACATGAAAATGACCAAAAAGTTTTTATTAGAGAAAATGTCATAAAATGGGGTTTGACAGCTAAATCCTAATATGAAACTCATCACGTGAAGTCGACCTTAATCTATCAAGGAGAAAGGAAAATTAACGGAAAAAAAAAAAAGAAAAGAAAAGTCGTAGCCTATTGGTTATATATATTTAAATGTCAACCATACGGACTTAACAACATATCAATGCTCAAAGTCAAAAAAAAAAAAAAAAAAATATCAGTGACACGGTTCACATGTGAACTGATAAACTGTATTAGTTGAATGATAGCTAAAGATAAAGATAAATAAATTAACCTGAAAGAACTTTCAAATGTGAATTAGTCCCAAAATAAAATAATATTTTTAAATAAAAATAAATGAATAAAATTTACACTTAAATAGATATAATGACAAACTATAAGTGACCTAAACATCTATTAAATAAAATTTACTTAAATAATATAATGACAACTATAAGTGACCTAACAATCTATTATATGACAATTAATTATGTTTTTTCTATCAAAATGTGAATGATCATTAAAATAAAAAATTAATGATAATAATGGACATAATAAAGTACACCTACTAACAAAATAAAATAGAATAATGTGGGAACTCAGGTAAAAGTCAATTTTCCCCATATTAAACATATAAATTTTAAATAAGAATTTTTATATTAATATGATTTATTATTTTCAAAGAAATAGTCATTAGCAGTTCGTACCAGCTGGTAGCAGATAGCAATTGCTGGTGGTTAGTGGTTAATAGTTGTTAGGTGATTACTATTCGTATTTGATAAAATGTTGGTACTGGTTACTGTTAAAATATAGAATGACTACGAAAAGCATTAATTATTTTTATATATTATGATGTATAATATATATATGTAGATGTATATTTTTGAATTTAAGGTGAATATATTATTTTTTATTTAATATATATTTTTTATTTTAATGTATTATCTTAATAAAATAATAATTAAAATTTTTAAAATAATATTTTAAAGAAATTATTTTCAAATAACTTACAAATAATGAAATCCATTAATAATTAAAAATTTTAAAATAATATTTTAAAGAAATTATTTTCAAATAACTACAAATAAAATGATCATAAAAAAATATCAATTTGAAGAAAAAAAACTTATTGGCAATTATTTTTATAAGGTTAATTAAATCTAAAATAATATAAATACGAATCAGTTTCCAGCTAATACCAAAAAACTCTAAAATCTAGCTGTTGGAAACAAATTCAAGTTAGATGTGAAACAGTTATCAACGGTGTGAAACAGCTGAAACAAGGCTTCCTTAATCCATCTATCAAGATTGATAAGTAAAAATTTATCAAAAAACGCAAAGCAGATCTGGAATGGTTTATGACGTGGCAAAAGATGAGTGGGCTCCACTGCCTGACTTGGCAAGGGAACGTGATGAGTGCAAGGCACTTTTCCACGATGGCAAGCTCCACGTTATTGGCTGGTATTGTACTGAAATGCAAGGTCGATTTGCAAAAACTGCTGAGGTGTTCGATGTTGCTACTTGGAAGTGGAATGGTGTGCAAGAGAACTTCTTAGTATATGCCATGTGTCCTAGAAGCTGTACAAGTGGCAATGATCAATTGTACACGTGTCATGGAACTGATGTGTTGGCATTTAAAGACAACACGTGGCAAGCTGTTGCCAAACTTTCTGCTGACGTGTGCAATATTGCTCATGTGGAAGCGTTGCAGGGTAAATTGTCTGTGATTGGCTCAGCAGGATTCGGAGAGCCATACGTGGGGTATGAGATGGATTTAAAGAAGTACACGTGGAGAAAAGTGGAGACACCTCAGCAATATTCTGGCCATGTTCAATCAGGTTGTTATTTAGAGATTTAAGAACGGATGTCGTTGCAAATGCAGTTAATATTAAGGTGACGTCGTTTTGAGTTGTTTTTGGTAGAAAATGGCAGTATAATGTAAATAGAAGAATGAGTGGTATTGCTAAACTTCTTTTGTCATTACAATGTAATACAAGTTTTGGGTTTGCTATGACGATTTCCAATTCAAACAGTAAAGTCAATGGCATGTACTAAGATGGCAAATTTGCAATTGATCTTTCTGAATTGGTGAAGATGGTAATTTGATAGATAAATGAATACATTGTTATGTGTTTGGGATATTTTTAAAATAAATTTCTAATTTAAATATTCCACCATGAAATTAATATTTAATTTAGAGTGATTAAACACGTATGTCATGTAAAACATTTTCCTCATGTGTTTGGGATATTTTTAAAATAAATTTCTAATTTAAATATTCCACCATGAAATTAATATTTAATTTAGAGTGATTAAACACGTATGTCATGTAAAACATTTTCCTCCTAAAGAACTTGTATACCTATGTAACCGGCTAACCGGCAAATCACATGTCTAGTGAAGTTTTTTTCTATTAAAATAAAGGCATGAGGGCTAAAGTTTGTTCTTTTGTGGAGTTCATATTGGGAAATTATTGTCCAAACGCCGGCCAAAGAAGTTTGTACCATAATATAAATTTATCATTTCGCTAGAACTCATCACAACTGATGAATTTCTACTCTAGATCTTCTGTTCTCATTATAAATTTAAAAAACAAATTACTTTCTATTGTATATTTATAATACTATTTCAGCCATTTGATTTTTCCAATAAATTAAAAAAATTTATTAGTTCAAACAATAAATTTAATAAATGAGTGAAAGACTCAGTTAAATCCAATGTATGAATCGAGTAAAATTAAGAGGAAAATTTTTTATTACAGGAACAAAATGAGATGAATTTTGATAAATTAACAGCTAACACCTATTAAAACAGTTAATTTACTGAATAAATCCAATTAATAAATTATAAGCTATGAGTCAACTTTTATCCGCATTATTAATTTACCTTATCTTTTTTTTTTCTTTTTTTTTTTGTTAGTTTTGGTCAAACCTATATGATACCCATCACCATTAAATAATTTAAAAAGAAGAAAAAAAAATTGTCAATAAAGTATGTTCTTAATGGTTTATAAGATCACAATAATTTTCACCAATCTGATCAGCTAAAAAGAAAATTAATGCAGCCAAAAATGTTATTTCAACACATTATAAATAAAAAAAAAGAATAAAAATATCAAATGGATTCAATTTTTTTAATTAATCATAAAAATAAAAAATAAATTAAATTTAATGAAGTCAATATCAATATATTATTAAAAAGAAAAGAGATAAATTTATCCCTATTTGAATTTTTGTTCCTTTGTTCTTTAATAATGGTTTTTGTCCTTTAATCTTGAATTGTTATTATTGCTTTGCTGATTTTACAGGCGGACCAGTTAAGCTGCTTATTAGAGGAAAATTGTTAACGCAACTTTGTGCTAAATTTTCCACACATGTGTTTGTCATGCTGGAGTGTGACACTCTCTTGCAAATCCTTGAAAGATCTTTTTTTTTTTAAAAAAAAAAAAAAAAAAAGAAAAGATCTTTTTTTTTTAAAAAAAAAAATTTTTTTTTTAAAAAAAAAAAAAAAAAAATTGGAATTGAAATTCACAGTTTCATAACACCATTATCTAACTGGATAGATCAGCTATTTTTCTCCATATGACAGTGACTTGCTTATTAGTGGAAAATTGTTAATGCAACTTTGTGCTAAATTTTCCACACATGTGTTTGGAAAATTGCTTTCTTCTGTTTCTATTCTACTTGGAAGAAAAAGAAACAACCTAATTGAAAACTATATTGAATTTATATGCGCTGTATGGTATAAATGAATTCCAAAATTCATTTATTTGTGAATGAATTATTCGTATGACTAATTTAAAACATATAATTTAATTGAATTCTGCATACTTATGTGTGGAACAAATTCATAATTAAAAATTCTTTTGTTTTTATTTTCTAAAAAATTTTTAAAATAGTAATTTCACAAAAATAAATAATAAATACCAATTATATTTATGCTTTTATGCTATGCTATATAATTTTTTATATTAAAATAAATATATAAAATAAAAATAACATTAATAAAATTATTGTATTTAATTTAGTGATAAATTGATATTTAACTTTTGGTACGCATAAATTTCCATTACATTTTGGCATAAACTTAAACAAGAATCAAACTTTTTGTTGTGTTTGATTCCATTTGTTGTGTTCGACATCCCGACTTCTCTCTTTTCTGTGAGTGTGTTCTGGAGAAGTGCCTTTTACGGAATTCTATTAAGGGGGTTAGAGGATCAGAGTCCATATATGTTTTATATAATAGACATGAATAATAATAAGTCTTGGTATAATAATTTCTAAAACTCAATTATTTGTAAAACTCAATTATTTGCGGCGGAGAGCATAGTACACGGACAAGATGGATTTCGTTAGGAAAAGCAAATACGGACAAGATGGCGTCTCTAGCTATTGACTGTACCATTAATTTTGAGCAGTATTAGGTTGACTACTGCTAGAGACGCCAAAGACTTGCATGTTGTAGGGTCCCCTCTAATTGGTTAAACAAATTGCTAGCAATATATAATGTTTTAATTAATTAATATATCAATACAGCATCCGATTAATCTTTTGATTCTCTCATTTCTAACCTATTCATCGACCGAAATGTCGGATCCGTCCAGCAATCCAAACCAGCAAACTGAATCAGAAGGTCGGCTCTCTCCACATGTCATCGTCATTCCACAGACTGAATACGAGATTCGGTTAAGATCAGTAGAACGAAGTACCAAGAAATTGCCAAAATTTGCCAAATTTGCTTACACAAATACAGTCTGGTAAGATTTCCATGACAATCTTTCGAGTTCCTTCAAAACTAATGAAAAATTGCATCCCCAACCCCTTTTTAAAACCTCATAATTAGTTCTCTCATTAGGCGCCAACGTACCACCATGGGTGAAGAGAAAAAAATCTCCATACAATTCAAAGAAACAAAAACAGGAGTTTCTTGGCATCGTCTTAGCTAGAACGCCAAAGAATAAGAACGCGGTTGGTTAGTATCGATGATTTTTTCGAAGGCTATAGCATCAAAGAAAAAGAAGATAAGAGAAGGTATTGTCAGAACTTGAAACCTATACTGCATGATTTAAGTTGAATGATATTCTTGATGGTGTTTTATCATGGAGTTCTTTGTGTTGTAGGAACGTTTAATTCTCAATGATCATAACTGAGGATCCTATATTTCTTTACGATGGATTTTATATACTCTAATGAGAGATTTTTTATCTTAGAAAATCAGATTCCTTCTTTTTGGTTTCTTCAACTTTTATTCGAGATATCACTTCAGATTTAAGAAACGTTCCCTTCACTTTGAAAATTCACTTCTCGGATTCTTTGTAAATGACACCATGCCCCGACCACATCCAGTCAAATAATATCCAAAATTAGCAATTCTGCATTGACGAACATTTACTATCTCTATACCGCTCGAGCTTTATTCCCTCTTTATCCCTACTTCTAAAGGTGAAGCAACAGGTAGTAGAGACTACCAAAGTGTTCGACCAATTAAAAAGCTACTTGGAGCAGGAATTAAGATCAAGATAAAGAAGGATGCAGAAAGTTTTTTGGATATAGTATTTAAACCTAATGGTGTTCTTGAAATTCCAAGCTCACCTTCGGATGAGTTCTCAAGAAAATTTTTACTTAATTCGGTTGCGTTCGAACAATGTTATTATTACTGCTCTATACATTTTACATCATATGTTACTTTTATGGGCAATCTTATAAATACAAGTTTTGATGCTGGATATTTGCTCGATCGCGGAAATATTTGTACGGGGGCTGATGAAGATGCTGCTGAATTCTTTAGAGAGTTAAAGGAAGATCTTTTTTATGATGTTGGAAAATGTTATCTGGCCAAGGTGATAGAGGATGTTAATAAGTATTATCGTAATGTTTGGAATGTTACATTGGCAGGATGCATGTATAATTATTTTGGGAGTCTATGGGTATTCGTTTCAGCTGCAGCTGCTTTATTTCTCCTCCTCCTTACCGTTACTCAAACCTTCTTTGCTGTTTATGCATATGTAAAACCGCCCAATTGATTTAGCCCAATTGATTTAGGTACTGTCTGATGATTATTTTTTCTTTGGTTTATGGACTTGTCTTGATTTCTTTTTTCATTTTTCTGGTATTTGAATTTTGTATCCGTTGGGATGTTGATTGAAGCTTCTTCTGCTGTTTCTTTCTCTTTTGTAATACGAATATGTTAAGTGCAGCTAATTAAACGGTTATTGAAAGTCATTTTCTACATTTAAGGGAAAGAAAATGTGTAATCATTATTATATATTATCATTATCATTATATCATTATTATTGTATCATTATCATTTATAATATATATATTATTAATTATATATAGTATATATATTATATATATATATAATTGATATAATTGAAAAATTAGAGTTTTATATAACTTTCAAAAAATTGAAGAACACTATAAAAAATAGCGTTTAATTAAAACACCAAAAATTACTTAAAAATTATTTATGAAAACACAGTTTATATAAATTTCATAGTTAAAATTCTTCTAATTCAATTTCAATCTCTAAAACGACATCAAAATTGGAAAAAAAAAAAAAATCAAACATTCAAAATGAGGACTGGGTTAAAAATACATGAAAATGACCAAAATGCTTTTATTAGATAAAATGTCATAAACTGGGTTTTAACAGCTAATTCCTAATATGAAACTCATCCCGTGAAGTCGACCTTAATCTATCAAGGAGAAAGGAAAATTAACAAAAATAAAAAAATAAAAAAAAAATCGTAGCCTATTGGTTATATATATTTAAATGTCAAACATACAGACTTAACAACATATCAATACACACCAAAAAAAAAAAAAAAAAAAAAAAAAAAAAAAAAAAAAAAAAAAAAAAAAAAAAAAAAAAGAAAACATATTATCACTGACGGGTACATGTGGACTGTGTAGCTGTCTTAGTGAATGATAGCTAAAGATAAGATAAGTAAATAACCGAAGACTTCATGTATTAGTCAAATAAATAATATTTAAAAAATAATGAATAAAAATTACTTAAATAATATAATGACAACTGCAAGTGACCTAACAATCTATTATATGACAATTAATTATGTTTTTTCTATCAAAATGTGAATGATCATTAAAATAAAAAGTTAATGATAATAATGAAAATAATAAAGTACACCTAATAACAAAATAAAATAGAATAATGTGGGAACTCAGGTAAAAGTCAATTTTCCCCATATTAAACATATAAATTTTAAATCAGAATTTTTATATTGTCACGATCCATTTCCGCGGACCGAATCGGCACTAAAACCTGGGTGGACTTAAGGCTCTCGAAACCCGTAGTAAACCTAAATTATTTAAAACTCATATGCTATTCATAATTATGGATTCAGACCCATTAACTAATTTCACCAATGTATTAAAAATACAATCCAGTATTAAAAATACAATCCATAATATTAATATATATGCTCTTATTATCCAATTACAACCCATCTAGAATACAATTGCAGAACTCTAACTTTACATTTACATCGTTATTTAAATCATTAACAGCCTTCTACAATAAGTGTTTCAACTCCATAAGCCTTTCCTTTCTTTCTATTACCGGAAAAAAAATAGGTAGGCAGGGGTGAGCGCCAAACTCAATGAGTAGGGTTAGATAACCGTCTCACCCACATAATCACACAGATACTAAAATATTTTAATCTGGTCACTCGTTTAGTTATATGATCATGCAGTTTGTCACACAAATGGCAATACAACAGCAATCACAGTTATTATCACCTTCATTCACCTTCATATAGTCACATCACGTGGAAATTAGTCAGTGGCGTCACCTAAACCCCCGACGAGCCGTCCACCCACACGGCCTATCCTCTCAAATGTATGCACTCAAGGAGCCAATCCCCCATATCTGGCCGACCGGTCTAATCCTCACATGACCAGTCCTCTCATTCTTTTTACATTCTCTCTTTTCTTTTTCATATCATCCATATCATATCATATCATCAAGTGCACACGGGGGCGCCGATCTCCCATTTACCCGGCCGATAGTCCGATTTCACAATTTCATCATAATCAGGATCCATAATTTACTGACCGTCCTCACAAACCCATGGTGACTCACTTCATCCCAATTCCACACAAACGAAGCGTGACTCACTTCATCCCAATTCCACACAAACGAAGCACAGTATATATATATATACACATCACAAGTAATCAAGCAATTCTTAATCAAACAATAATGCAGCACAATATGGCAATTCAACAAATTAATGCATGATAACATTTAACCGTGAATGCATGAATGCAAACGAATGATACTAGTTATCAACACTACTCACAGTTCATTATTGTCCTTTAAAGGACTTTCTTTATTACTGCCACTCTCAGTTTTTGTTTTGATGTTCTGGAACTTCACAAGCATCTAGAAGGAAAATTTAAGTAAGAATTATAATTCGAGAAATTAAATCCTTATTCGCTAAATAATTAAAGCCAGTATTTAATTTATTAAACTATATAATTCGGTACTCTTGTTTATTTGTTTATTTGTTTATCTTTTCGTATAAGTGTCGTTAGTAATTTAATATTCCATAATAACGATAATATTAATAATATTAGCAACATCAGTCAATGGTATTAGTTATATTAAAAATTTTAGTTATTCCCATTTAATATTTTAACTAGTCCAGTTCTTTAATAATTCTCTTTTTCGAAAATTCCAACATTACTCGTCTCTACATATCGAACTGTCCTAATAATCACGCATTACAATATAATTGACTTATACCACCAATGTACTTTAATTGTTATTTTCCTTTTGTAATTTAATTGACCATCAGTAACAATATCTACGTATTAATTTGATTGCTAATTTGAAATTTAAGCATTTTTATTTTCTGTGAAAGTCTTTATTATCCATTAACTACCTAGAAGTCCGATTCTATATACGATGTTCATATATATTTCAATTATCTGTATTTAAATTCATAAAACTTCAATTCCTACTAATTCAATTAATCTTATATTCAATTAATTAATTAATTCGAGTTTTGAACTTTATATTGAAAATGAGCAACTAGGCCTTACAATGTACCGATCGAAAATCATTGAAAATGAGCAACTAGGCCTTACAATGTACCGATCGAAAATCGGATTTTATTTTTGTGATCCATGCAAAGAGGAGATCATTCTGCCTCTTGAAGCCCTCACCGGAGTCTCGTCGGACCTCCTTCGTCGCCGCCGTGCACGGTGGCCGAAAAATCGGACTTGCTCAAAACCGAGCACTCTTTACACCATTTGACTCGTTTTTCTGCCAAGAGTCCGATTCTGGCATCAGTTGAGCGAAATCAGTCTCCTAGCTGGCCGGATCGGGCCTGACAGTTGCTTGGTGTCGCCGTTAATGGTGGTTTCGCAATTCAAGCTCTGTTGTCGGAATTGACAGAGGGAAAAATGATCGTTTAAGCGGGGAAAGTAGATCGGTTCCCATCCTTCATGTTGAACCTGTCGGAAATGGCGAGAAGTCGCAGGAGATCGAGATGCAGGCTGCCGCTTTGCACAGGTCCGATTTGCGTTAATGCAGGTCCTTTTTGCGTGAGAGGTGGTTAGAAACATGACCCCCAGCGTCAGTCGAGTTGATTGCCACCTAGTCCTCGCTGAACAATGGTCGGAGATGGGAAGGGAGGAGGAGGAGGGGCTGTCGCGCAATGGAGAAGGAAGAAGAAGAAAAGAAGAAGAAAAGAAAAGAGAAGCCTAAAGCTTCTAGACCATTCTGGTTCGATTCGAACCGATTTGCTCTAATTCAATGATTCCGCTCGGTTCTTACTCGTTTTGCAGGTTTTCCACTTGGTTTTTGAGTTATTCGTGTAGTTTCCGAAAAATCAATTTAATTCCCGGGTCCGGTTCGATTTATTTTAATTATTTTTATTAAGTTCCATAACATTTCCTCCATTTACTCAATAATAATATCCATTTACTCAATAATAATAAAAATATTAATAGTAATGATATTTAATTCTAGAATAATATATATATATATATATATTAATCGCTTGTGTTTCATATTATTTCTTGAAAATTGTAACTGTTCTCAAATCGAAATTTCCGAATAATCTCTTTTGGGCTTGGGCCCAATTCGACAATTCGGGCTCGAATTGAGACTATATTACATTTGCAGCCCACGCGGCCAAAATTTGCGATTTTTGATTTAATAAAAATTCAAAAGTTTCGAAAATAAAAATTCAGGGTATTACAAATCATCGAGTATTCATATATTGATGATGATTTATTATTTTGCAAAGAAAGTAGTCATTAGACCGTCTCGGTTTAACGGTTTGTACCGAGCCTGGTAGCAACGCAGTTGTTGTTGGTTAGTTCCCTCCTAAGCTGTTAGGTGATTTACTTATTCGGTGTTTGAATAAATGTTGCATTCGGTTACTGTTAAAAATATTAGAATGACTATGCAAAAACGTATTTTATATTATTATGGTGATAAATAAATATATATAATTATATATTATATATATATATATATATATATATATAAATATATATATATATATATATTATATATATATATGGAGATGTATATTTTTTATTTAAATGTATTATCCTTAACTAAAAATAATTAAATTAAAAATTTTAAATAATTCTTATTTTCAAATAACTACAAAATAAAATGATCATTAAATACAAATATCAATTTGAAAAAAATTTATGGGCAATTAGTTTTATAAGTTAATTAAAATCCAAAATAATATTTAAATACGAATTTAATTTCCAGCTAATAACCAAATAAACTGTAAAATCTAGCTGACTGGAAACAAAATCAGCTATTGAGCTGCTGATTAAGAAAAATTTACAAAACACATTGCAATGTAAACCATTAGATGTGAAAACAACTATTCAACTGCATTGAAATAGCTGAAACAAAGGCTTTCTTAACATCATCTATCAAGATAAAATTCAAAACTTAAAAATTTTAAATAATTTTATTTTCAAATAACTACAAATAAAATGATCATAAAAAATATCAATTTGAAGAAAAAAAATTTATTGAGCAATAAGTTTTATAAGCGATTAATGAAAAATCCAAAATAAATAAATACGACAATTAATTTCCAGCTAATACAAAAAACTGTAAAATCTAGCTGATGGAAAACAAAATCAGCTATGGAGCTTGGCTGAT